ATCTTTAATGAATGAATTATAAATGCATCAAAGGTGTTGCAACGGAGCAGAGTTTGGTTATACAAGTTTTCAATAGTTTTTAAATATATATTTTTTTGCTATCTGAACAATATCTGAACTCTCTGTAAAGCGCTTTGGGCGACCTTGGTCTGTAAAATGTGCTATACAAGTAAACATTACCTACTTACGTACTCTGTCACATATTTAGATCAGCTTTTTCAGTCAGACAAGTGAAAAAAGTAATCATGTGTTTTCAAATAGTAATGGAATTGACCAGATGTCTATAGTCTCCAAAAATTAATAAAAAATATTTTGGAGCGGGCCGATAAAAATTAACCAATGGGATGCGTTTACCCCCTTCACCCGCTTCCTGTTTCTAATGAGTGTTATCGGAGAGTTATCGGATTATTTTCTAAAACCTTAAATGGCTGAACAGAAAAGGCCAATTTCACTTTTGCCACCCACTCTCCCTGTTGTGACAAAGAAAAGAAAATGCTGGATGTTTGGTTTGGTGGATAGGCGAGGGGAGGGGGGAGGGGTTTCGAGTTGGTGCTACGGCTAAGCCAACAACATCGCTAACAGCATCTTTAAATCAAATGTTCTCAATGGCTTTGATTTCACACAAGACTATGCTCCCAAACTAGTATCATGTATTTGAAGTATAGTCACACTAACGTCCCAAAACGACACACAATCTTTTTTCAAGCCTGTTGTGTGAAGTTTCCCCGAATATTTTGACAGATTTTTCTTTTTCCAAAGCTCACGCAAACGAACACACACAAATAACAAATCGTCACATTTTCCCAGTGACAGTAAACACTTCTTTTATTATTTTCATGACTTCTATTGTGTCTAATGATGTGTGCACATTACAGAAGCCTTTATCCTCGCCGTTACATTGAAAAGCGTCCCTCTTCCCATTCGTTTGCTAAAAGTATTTGTTCGGGAGATGAATTGGCGAGCGCGATGACAGCCACGCCGACGATATTGAATTGATTTCTGAAATGTTGCAGAACGGACTGGTTGATGTGTACCACGAGACATGAATAATAAAAATTCTATTAAAAAGCCCTTGAATGGCTGACACTGGAATATTATTTGTAATGATTAATTTTCTTCAGTCATTATAAAGGGGAGTTGGCATGAGATTGCTGCTGACAAAATTGCTTTTCATTCCCTGGTGAATAGCCTCAGAATGCTTTTTGGAGAGCGTATTTCTCTGCCGCCGTATTATGTCAAAGATAGCGGCGGGTAAGACAGCCATAGTGGGATCGTGTATCAGAGTGGAGCGGCTGTAAAAAGCTAAGGCCCTTTTAGCAATAAGGATAATTTATGCTTACTAAACCTATTAGCAGTCGTGTAATACCGAGTCTCATCAATCTGAAGGCTGCTGCGGATCTGGCCAATACTGATGCCTTTTTACATAATTAAACCGTCTATTTTTTTGCAATGTAATAAAATTATGATCTGTGTCAATGTGGCATACAGTCATTTAAGGGTGTATTGTGTGAGAACTTTGCTCGAGATTCGTCCCAAATAGAGATGTTGCTTTTCTCTATGGGACAAATCACAAGTGTTATATATTAAAAGAAAATAAAGTTATGTACCCCAGCTTTAAACCAGCGCGTCTCCAACTGTAGTTCTTGCGTTATGTGTTGAGGGAAAAAATGATTCAGATATTGATAAGGATTATCTAAAACCAGAAAAATTGTCGAGAAAAATTGGTTGAAATCAAAACCAGTCGTGCTCCCATAGATGAAGTTCTGCTTTTCCCTGGACTTTCTCTTTTAGATTCTTTACATTGTGCTTATCGAGTTTTAGTTTGTACTGTTGCCTAACTGTGTGTTTATGTGTTTATACCTGCCTTAGGACGATGGATGCAATTTAGCTTTTGTGCTAATTCCAGCATTTTTCGGTTGATGCTGTTTGCCCTGTTCTGTGCTACCTGCCCTAAATTCAAATACATGAATTTATACTTTCATTTCATTTCAAGTGAGCTGCACAAAAATATTGCTCAATAAGATCTTATAAAAGGGTGCTAAATACATTCTAACTGGATTCAGCTCTACATGTTTCTTGCTAAAAGGTTCTAGGTTTTAAGAAAAGTTCATGTGGTAATATAATGGGAAATATTCTAAGTGGCCAGGTCCGTCAAAAGACAAGACGACGTAAGAACACTGTGAATATTTATATTATTCATAAGACATGCTTTTTCCCAATGTAGGTTAAGCGGGATATCTGGAACCAAACTCTAGCTCTATGGCAAATTCTGTTTCCATCTGTTTCCATTCTGTTTCCATCAGATTTTGGGTCACAGCTCAGTTGGTAGAGAATTGGTCTTTGAGCCTGAAAGTCATAGGTTCAAGCCCAGCACAAGACCTTCTCCACCGACTTCCACTGATGTTTGCTGTCGTTCTGTCCTTTGGCAAGACTTAAACTTAGACAGACTTTATTGATTCACAAGAGAAGTAGCTTGCATAGTATTCGACATAGAAAAACAATAAAGTAACAACCTGAAAATAAGAATAAAAATAAGATGCTATCGTGAGAATAGAATAATCTGGATATGTACTCAGGTATATACATATCTGTGAATATGTACACATTTACAGTATACACAGATACCCCACTGTTGACCCCACTTTGCCCCAGCTGAAAGATCAAGGCTGTGCTGTTACTGACCGAGCAGCCATCCTCCTGTAGACCCACAACCTGCAGGAGGATCAGTGAGGGGCTGGTGCTCTGTGAAATGGGTGCATCTCTGACTGCCTCCCCCCGACCCAGAAATGGATTAAGGGGAAGAAAATGGATGGATGGCACTGGACACTCCTGCAGAGATCTCTCCAACTGTACTGTCCTCTGTTGCTCTTTGAGATCTTTACATTCTCTCGCTTCTTCTGCTTCAACTTGTTCAAGAATCGGTTTGTGTTTTCTTCCGTTTTGGAGACTGTGAAAAAGTATTTCTAGTGCAGGTCATCCGGTCAAAAGCACACCAAGATTATCAGCATTAACAGAGACCTTTCCAACTGTTGTCTTGGGTTGACACGGGCCAGAAAACACTGTGCCTTAAGAATGTTCGCGCTACTATCTATCTATAAAACACACTTTGGCGACAGTGCAACACTACACATCAAACTGCCTGCACTTTTCTGACACAAGTCTCATCCAAATCCTCTCCCCTAAAACCTATTCTCCCCAAATAGTCACTTGTGCATTTCCTGCCTATAGGGTGTAATTAGCTGCATTTAAAAAGTGTCAATTTTTTCTGGAAATCTGTCAACATTTCTGTGCTTGTAGAGCAGCTGTCGGCTCCTAATTAATGCTCCATACATGCTTGCATTGAATGGGCTGCATACACTGTTTTGTCTTTGCGTTTTTCAAATGATTTCTCCCTCAATGTAGACAACATAATCCAACAGGTGCACGTAAAAGGCAATTATGAAGGATTTTTAATTACCTACAAACAGTCTTTGTCGGCGCGCTGCTGCGTATGTGCCTATTACCTTGGTTTACCGTGGAAATGTTGATTAGTTTTGAGAGTTGTTTGATGGACGCGGCGCAGCTCCGGAGCTCAAAAGTATATTCTAAAAAAGCTGGTGTTTGTGTGGATATGAAAAACGACTTATTGCGTCTTCACATAATAATAACGAGAGAAGGCCTCTCACTGTCGCAGCGCTGACGTTATTTGACAACAGAATATTACGTGTGTGATTTGAGTGACTTTTATTTCTGTGCTAAAAGTGATGAGAAATGGCTTAGAGTTTCTTTTACAGAAATGAGAGGTGTTTGGGTGTGCTTTCAACTCAAACTGTCCAAACCTTTTAGTTAGAGGGCCAGATTAGTTCACCAGGCTTGTCCAGGGGCTGATGACTTAAAAACGATGCTGTAAAACTGGATTGAGGCGGTTAGGAGACTTACAGTAGATATATCATGTCATGACATGATTTGTATTTGGCATTGGTCAACGTTGTACGACGTTATAATCAGCTGCATGAGAGTCATATGCTTTATTCATCATAAGAAACAAATGTTGGTGAAGTCAAAGTCAATGATATAGTTGTGTCTGAGCATTACAATGAGGTAAAGCATGTCTGTATTGGTGAAGATGAAGTCGGCCAGATGACATGGAATGTATGTTTATGATTGCAATGGCTAATTCTTGGTCAGTAAAACAGAGAGCCACAGAAAATAACCATTTGAGTTTAACACAGACATGGATTAGCTCAACAGAAGAAAACCGCATGTTTTGTTTTGTGTCCTTTGAAACCACACAAAATGTTCTAAAATCCATGTAACTAGTCCCTCGCCCTCAAGACAGTTTGTTCTATCTAACAGTTTGTTTTTTATAAGATAAAGACAACTAGTTGTGTTCAGAATAATGACCACAACAAGATGTTATTCGAACAAAACTCTTTCTGTTGGTGGGAACAAAATTCATTTAACAAGTTTGTTCCCACGGCTTGAATCAAAAGGTTGAACACTCACAATCTGTTTAAAGTGCTTGAAGCTAATAATATGTCATGTAGGTTGGTTTATTAGACTCTATGCAACGACAAATTATCTTTTTGATACGAGGAATAACACATTCAAGCTTCCTCACTTTAGAACCACAAACCAACAGTTTTCTTCTAACACAGGTTTTCACATGTATTTTTGGTCACATCTTTACATCAGTTTTTCAGACAGAAAAAGTAAAAAGAGATGGGACAAGTTTCACTCAAACCACCTTTGTGTGGTTTCAAACCAACTAGCTCTCAGCCCAAAGTGTCAAGTAGTGACACTTTTCCAACAGAAAACATGTTTTGAAACGGTGAAGACAGGATGTTGTAATTTTAAATGTTTTGGTGGAATAAATACCATATTATTTCAGGAGTTGGTGCCCCAGCCTTCATTTATTTCATTCTCATGACTTCTTTTTTTTTATGCAATTACATTTGTATTTTAGTTTTTAACAACACCAAACACATTACACTCACACTTCTGTTGTTTGTTCTTTGCAGAGTTACTCCAGTCAGGGCAGAGGCGGCGCCGGGGACGAGGACTACGAGATCCCCCCCATCACGCCTCCCAACCACGCGGACCCCTCCCTGCTGCACCTGATGGAGCACGAGCCGGGGTACCCCTTCCACGGGCTGCCTCACAACGGCCTGCTTAACTCCTACTCCTACCCTGAGCTGCCCGCCCTCATGATGTCAAACATGCTGGGCCAGGACTCACACCTGCTCTCCGGACCCATGCACTCGGTAGGATCCTGTGTGCGTATGTGCGTGGGTCCATGTGTGTGTGTGTGCTTGTGTGTGTGTGTGCTTGTGTGTGTGTGCGTGCATGTGTATGTGTGCGTGCATGTGCGTGTGTTTGTGCGTGGGTGTGATTGTGATTTTATCTTGACAAGTTAAATTTATGGAATATATTCTTTTGGTGTTTTTGTATTTTTTGTGTATGTATTTTTTGTATATGTATTTTTATTTATTTCTTTTGTGTCGTTCCTTTCCAAGTACCGTTTTGGCCGCAGGTTTTTATTCTAAGTCTTTTCATGTTCAAGTTTAATACCAGAGCTGAATTTGGGCTGAAGAGTGGTGGCGCTTGTTCCACACAGAGCTGTTTCCAATGAGGGAGACACACTGAAATAACATGTTGTGTCACGGGAGCTGTTTGCAAATTTGGGAAAAAGACAGAATAAATTCGACTCCTCCCTCTGGTGGTAGCATAGGGTAGTGCAGTTTGAATTATTTACCCTTCATACTTTCCCCATAGTATCACTATCATTTGTAATGGCCAACAAAACTAATTATTTGTTCTTTAAAGATGGGTGTATCATGTCTTTATTGAGTCAAGGTTGAGTTGGTGTTTTTTCTGTTTTAATTCACTTTTTTGTTGATACTATTTATTTATGTATTTATTTAATAGGGAAAATGGCCATTAAAGAACATTAGCATAAAACAAATGTATATGCCAGATTATAGCTATATGTTGCCTATAGGGATTATGTTTTCATCCATAGTCCCTATATAGGCAAGAAAATGCATAGGAAATAACAATACAGGACAACACAGGCAGCACAGGGCAAAGTGAAGAGTTTAGTGGTCACATGACTGGTTTTGAAACAGATACTTAGACGTTCAGTCAGCCCTAACTGCAGATAGAACAGGTGGCAGACTGAAATGTACATATTTAAACCATGAGGCAAAAGAACTATATCTTTAAACGTTATAAGCTAAATGATCCCGGTTAGAGGCCAAGGAAGCTGCAGTCTGTTTAGAGAAAGGTCTCCTCTGCTCATGCATAATTCATAAGTTACAGAAAGACTCCAATACTAGACCTTCGCTGCGTTGCTCTTTTCCTTTCTTTTCAGCTCGCAAAACTCCACATTCAGGTGCCTCGGAGTCAAAAACCAAGCGCTGAAGTCACTGCAGTATATTTTCATTCATTGTGATATTGCAAAAAGATGTATTGGGTTTTTGAACATGAAAAACCTCCGGCTGCAGCGGGGATATCCCTTGTCAGCTTTTTCCTGGTTTCAAAGTGCTGCGGAGGACCATTTCCCCCTGCTTTGGTGGAAGGACTTTCTTGTGTTGAGCAGGCTTGAGACGGCACATGTAAACGAACACATCATTTTGCTTTAATCATAGAATCGAAGGAGATGAATTATAAATGTCCCCCACTGTGAATTATTCAGCGTTATATACTTTCATCTGACGTAAATACAGCACTTTTTCCCCTCTCTCGCTCTGCCCCCTTCCATCATGAATATTTATGCTTTAATGTGAGCATCCGTGGCATTTATCCTCCGTTAATCAGGTCTTATGTGATTTTCTGAATCAAACTGCATAAGTTACAGGACGTGTTTTTTTATTCCGTGGGTGGTGCTCAGAAGGCCTCCATTAGAGCTGGGATTAGAACACACAACCATCGGCCTGGTTCACTGGAAGATCCCACTGAAAATACTCTTTACTACTGTGGGATCGCCAGAACAATAGTAGTTATATGAATATTGATATTTCTTATGTAGATACATTACCATTGTTTGTAATAGTAAGAAATATTTTCTTACTATTTTCACTTTAAAAACATTATAACACAATATTTTTGTATAGATAAATATTGATCATTATAATTTATAATATAATATTATTATTTAGATTAGTAATACAAATTGTATTACATTTTTTAAAGGGAGTTTTTTGATGCAAAAATCATACATATGTAAACATCACTTTAATAACAACTAACATTCAAGAAAAAATGTATACAGATACATCAATGGTGGATTTTTGTTCAAATGTAGCAGTGTAGCAGCTACAAGGGGCATTGTATCAAATTGTTTAGAAACATATTGTATTGTGTCGTGCGTATCAAGGCCCTGTGCATGTGTGTGTGTGTGCATGTGTGTGTGTGTGAATGTGTGTGTGTGTGCATGTGTGTGTGTGTGTGCATGTGTGCATGTGTGTGTGTGTGCGTGTGTGTATGTGTGTGTGTGTGTGTGTGGTGCATGTGTGTGTGTGTACACACACACACATGCTATTGTCTTCATCATAACGTTGGCAACATCACAGCTTTTGACCCGGTTCCTGTGGTTTCTCTCATCATTTACACTTTCACTGTTTTGTTGAGAGCATTGTCTTGGATCAATATTGAGATTTCAGATACTGTACAGTGCTAAATGTACAATAATGATCCAGGACGTCATAGATTTTAGCGAGCAGACTGAAGCCTGTTATGTCTTTAAGTGTTACACAAAGAAACCACGGTGAGCTGCCATACAGCGTCTGGAGTTATTGTGTACTTTCTGTAGCATTGAATCAGCCACAGCCAAGACCCACATGGCGCCTGTAGTTTGGTTCAAAGCAGTAGAATAGTGTTAGTCAAAGGTTAGAATAGTGTCATAAGTGGACTCGGGAGTCACCCTGAGGTCGCAGCAGCCCCCTGCGGCCGATCTCACTACAGAGAAAGGAGGGAGTGCGGCTTTTGAACAGCTTTTGTTTCACCTTTGCAATTATTTATTTTCAAATAGCCCTTCAGGGTAATGTTCCATTTTCTTATTTCACAGGCCTGTTCTCATAAATGAAGCGTCATGGCCATAAATCAGCCCCAAACACAGAGCTGCTCCCTGAAAGGTCCAGAGATTTATGTAACGCATTCATGTTTCCTACTTCCACATTTTAGTACTACTCTCGCTGAGCCCGGCTAATAATAGCTGCTATTAATATTTCCTGTTGCCTAGCAACCTCTGCAAGTAATAGCTTACTCTGGAAAAATAGATGACCGATAAGAAAAAGAAAGGGGGGTGGGGGGCGGGGGATTCAATTCATTTATTATCTCCTGGGACAAGAGCAGCTTATTCTGAGGCCGGGAATTGGAGAGCAGCCGCATACTGAGGAATATTGTAAAGCAATGGAAAATGCCATTATTATCATTTGGCTTCCATTAGGGATGTTTCACGTGATGTTGCTCAACAAAGTCAATCAGCTGCAGCCCGCTCCTGATGTCTTCTGTAAGAACGTCTTTCAAAATGTGTCCAGAGAATGAGACCTGCTGCTAATTATAAACTGTACAGAGGTTTTCAAAGGTACTTTCTCCTCTGTGCAGAGTGGATTCATATATTACCATGTATTTTGTGATGTATTTCCTACCATGGTCCAATACTCAGAAGACTTTCTCTACTGTATTTGCAGAAATATATTGAAGATCCATTTTTCATTGCAGATTAACAATGGTAAAACGACCCAATTTTCACCATTTAAAGTAAAGTTTTGAGATTTGATATCCTGATATCAAGTGTTCCCCAACCTTTTTGAGCCATTTACAAAGCACAGTCATTCTCAAGTGACCAATCAGGTGATATTGGATCATTCCCAAAGGACACCACATACCACACTGTAACATGCCGTAGCCCACTAGTTGAAAAACACTGGTCTATACTTTCCACAAGATTTCCAAGCATAAAGATTAGTGTCATTTTCATGTTTTTCCCCCAGAGCAAACACACAATAGGCGTCCAGGTCAAACACACTGCATCAGTCGCAGATGAAGACACAAGCGTTCCTCTGTGATCCGTATTGACTGCACATCTTCGCTGAAGCCGCTAAATTGAAGGAGATGTCTGTAAAACCACAGCACTAATCGCTGAAAGTCTCCTGCGCTCTGTCGGCACTGTAATCACAAACAAAGCTGGCCGAGTGCGTTCGCTAAAGCAGCCTCTCTCCTCAGCTCTCTCTCAGACTCCTGCAGCCTCCTGCCTCAGCTGGAGCGGCCTCTCCGGGGATCCACGCCTGCTTTTTGTACAACATTTAGCCCGAGGCCGCGCTGTAAACGGAGCTGCACTGGTGTGTTGGGTTCGAGCGCATCGATCCTCCGCAGCACACAGTTAAATCATTACAGGAGAGAGACGCACACACACAAACACAAACATATGTAACACTCACTGGAGGTGGGATTTCAAACAAGAGAGGATTTATGGTACAGTGTACTGCAGAGGTTCAGTTGTATTTACGGAACAAATATGGTGCGTTTTTAGTTCAATTTACTCTTAAATATGAGCTGTGTTGTGAATGTGGGAAGAATGGGCCAGAATTCCAACCACCAATTATGAGTAGGTTAATGAAGTAGTAGTAGTAGTAGTAATCTTTATTTACATACAGCCTTTTCACTGCAAATCTGAGTCTCAAAGCGGTTTACAATTGTTAATTTTGGGCACTTGTCCTCTCACTCCACACAGAGATGGGAGCGGGGTCACCAGTACAGGAGGCGCACGCCAGACCTATTGTACATATTTTTAGTGGTAGGGGAAACCGGAGTACCCGGAGGAAACCTACGCAGACACGGGGAGAACATGCAAACTCCACTCAGAAAGGAAACCCAAAGCATTTGACCAAGATAGTTTAAACAGCTTCAGTCCTCGTTCTACAGGAGTCCTGACTCCACAGCCTGTCCGATGTTAAATGTTTATAAATAACATTTATGACAGTGGTCATCCCGCTCCCTATGGACTAATGGCTCCTCTGTGTTTTAATTTGTGGCATTGCTTGTGTTTGAACAGTTGAATTGAATTAAACCATAATTAACTTATACACCAGTATGTCTGTTTACCATATCCATTTAAACTCTATACATCTGCATTATGTACACTTATATGAGATAACACAGTATTTAGGTATATTATACTTGTAAGTAGTAAGTAAGTAATGTTTATTTATAAGGCGCATTTTACAGAACAAGGTCACCAAAGCACTTTACAATGTTCAAA